GGCCCCGATTTCAAAATTTCTTACAAATTTGATCCAAAATTTACACTTTTGGCTCAGATTTTAATTTTTGTTACAAATTTGGTCAAAAAATTACCTTTTTTGCCCAAATTTTAGAATTTTATTATGAATTCATCCCAACTTCAGTTTTTTTAGAACTTTTTTTCTCAAAAATTTGTTTCTAATATGTTTTTTTCTTTATAAACTCATATTTATACAAAAAAAACATATTTTCACATAAAAATCTTACATTTTCTATATAAAAACTTTTTTTAAAAAGTTTTTTGTATATGAAATATCTACTTATAAAAATAGGTTTGGATTATTTGTGTGATTTCTCTTAAAAAAATCAATTAAGAAATTAAAAATAACCCTAAATTATATTATTAAATTATAGTTTGTCAAAAACTAGTTACATTCATTTTAATATTATTTATTTGTTCTTTATTCACATTTATAGGACAAATACTGTCAGTTCTTAATTTTAGTTCATAGAAATTTTTATTTTATTCCTAAGAACGTGGAATTTATAGATATTCAATTAACAATAAATATGTTTCATTACATTATATATCCTTTTAACCATTTTATTTGTTTTGAATTAAATAAAATTTGTTAAACCTCAATTACCATATTTACACCATGGAATTAAATAAATATATTTGTTTGCATTTGGTCATAATCTAATCTTATATAATTTTTTTTTAATAATATAACTAATACTACCAACCAATCTAAATTTCTTTTACCATTGATCAACAACCTAAAAACTAAAAGTACATTATATATGAAAGTTTAAAATATATATAATATATTAATATTATATTTTATTCGTAAGAATTTTTTTAAGAAAAAAGTTAAAATCATAACTTTGATATATTTTTTATAACTTTTTAATAAATATATTATCTAAATAAAACATATCCATTCATGGCACGTGTCCGATCTAGGTTGTGATTTTTTTTATTGCCAATAAACCTCTTCTTACTTGGATTGTTTATAATATTGTATTTCCTTTCTTTTTTAATGTCTATTATATGGAATACCGGTTGCAATTTATTATCGATAAACATATTTTTAGGGGAGTGAGAAATGATCAAAAACACAATAGCAACATAAATATATAAAATATTATAAATATCAATAACACAATAGAATACTTTATTTCAAGTTCTAAAGAATTTACACATGAGTTTGGCAAACTATAATTTAATAGTATAATTTAGGGTTACTTTTATTTTCTTAATTGATTTTTTAAGAGAAATCACACATATAATCCAAACCTATTTTTATAAGTAGATATTCCATATAAGATTTTTATGTGAAAATATGTTTTTTTTTTTGTATAAATATGAGTTTATAAAGAAAAACATATTAGGAACAAATTTTTGAGAAAAAAAGTTGTAAAAAAAAAACTAAAGTTAGGATGAATTCATAATAAAATTCTAAAATTTGGGGAAAATGGTAAAACTTGAACTAAATTTGTAACAAAATTTAAAATCTAGGACAAAAGTGTAAATATTGGACCAAATTTGTAATAAATTTTGAAATCTGGGCCAAAAATATAATTTTAGAAAGTTAGATGATATGTTGACCGGGTCAAAGGGATAAAATTGAATACGATTACCGGCATTTGGGACTTAATTGAATAAAAAAGAATATAAGGACTAAATCGATTATTAAACCAATATGTAAGGACATTATTGCAGTTTTCCCAATAAAATATTATATATATATATATATATATATATATATATATATATATATATATATATATATATATATATATAGTGTCCGGTTCCGGTGATGACTCTTTTTAAAGTAAGGACTCGTGAGGACACCTTAAAAAAATTGAAAAAAAATCTAAAAAAAAATTCAAATCATAAAATCGAGCATGGTACTATATCTGGGTGAAAAATATTGGAATTTTTTTTGCATCATTAACATTGAATCATAGATCATATAAATTGAATAATGGATCATAAAAATGATCCATGCTTCAATTTTAATGATCCAAATTTTTGTTTCCAGTTTTTTTTCTCTCCGATGTGGTAATTATGTTCGATTTTATGATTTGTATTTTTTTAAGATTTTTTTTCCATTTTTTTAAGGTGTCCTCACGAGACATCACTTTAAAAAGAGTTCTCACTTGATCTTATCTCTCTCTCTCTCTCTTTATATATATATATATATATATATATATATATATATATATATATATATATATATATATATATATATATAGTAGGTGCGAAACCCTTGTGCTACACGGGTTGATTAAAAAAAGTTATATATGAAGATATAAACTTTAATATTTTTTTTAAAGAAAACATTAAATATCAAAGTGTAAACATTATGTATTTTTTAAAATAAAATTTCAAAATATATATACAAACAAAATGATGAATAAATAAATAATTCAATTTATATTAATAAAACAAACTACAGAAAAATAATTATATTTTGATCATATAACATTTTTTTAGTTTGTCAATAAAAAGCAACAAAGTTTGATTATTTTTTTATATAGACCATTTTGTCTAAAATGACAATAAACTTTAAAAGAAACATGTCATTTTTGAATTATATATATTGAAGGAAACATATTAAAATTTGAAAATATAAGGAAACAAATTAATGACACATTAATTACTTTCTATAACCTAAAAATTAGATAGTTAATTAAGAAAATTAAAAATTAGCACAAAATGACAAGTGAAAATTAATTTCTAAGAATTAACCACAAAATTACATATGTCCAAATGCATAAAAAGTTGACAAGTGGCAAAAAAGTTCTTTATTTATTAAGAAGGATATATATATATATATATATATATATATATATATATGGAAAACAAAAAATTCTAGAAACCTTACAAATGCACAACCAACCAACCACCACCGCCACCTCCGCCACCAACCACCACCGCCACCTCCGCCACCACCACAACCAACCACCATCAACAATCGCGACCTCCGCCACCACCCACCGCCGCCATTCATATATGAATAATCACTTCCACTATATTTATTCATATATGAATATTGATCTGTTCCGTTGGTCCGGTACGCTGGAGCGCTTAAGCGGTAGATTCAAAATGAGTGGTCCAAATTCATTCTCTCATTCTCAATCTTTTTTTTCTCAATTGAACCCTCATCTATATATATATATATATATATATATATATATATATATATATATATATATATATATATATATATATATATATAGGCTTAGGTTATTTTGTTTAAAGTAATTATTGTGTTATTGTATGCATAAATGTGGGCCAATCAAATTTACTTATTTTAAGAAAGTGATTAATATACATTATTGAATTAAATATAATTGAAAATTTCATCTTAATTAATTACAAGGGTAATTTAGTCAATTAATATAGATTTAATAAAGGAAAATTGCATTTTTTAAGGGATCATAGATTCTATTAATTTTAAAAATCCGATTTTACGAATTATAATTCTTTTAATTAGGACATTCTGACAGAATATGTTTATGAGTATATATTCAAAATAAAAATATTCTTGAACCATAAATAATAAAAATATTCTTGAACCTATTTCTTGATGATGACTTTAAAAACTTCTTGAAGAGTAACAACTTCTTGTAGAATAACAAAATCTTGAACAATCAATTGAAGAATAAAAACAAAAAATACATTATTTTCTTATAGAATACGGGTAACAATCGTTAAGAATTACATTTATTGTTAAAGAATAAAACTAAAAAAACAATCAAAACGGGGAAGAAACATCAAAATCTAACAACGAATAATACATTCTAAAAGAATAATGTTGTCCGTTCTTCAAGCATCAACTTATGTGATTCCAACAGAATTGGAATTCTTCATTCCATTCCAACGTTCACGCCCTTGATCAGCATGTCTCCTTCACGCATTCTATAAGAATAACTGCTATGAAATTGTACATTTTAATACAATTACACATATTCTAACAGAATATCATAAAAAAATAAATAAAAACTTAAAAAACTTTTCGTGCTACTTCAAGTGAATCTTCAGGTGGAATGTGCTCTCCTCTTTCCTAAATAAGATAAATGTCATTAAAGATTAAACCAGACATTAATAATCTTGATTTTGAAAGAATAATTAAGGAAGTGAAAATGAAGATACCTTCATGAGTTGTTGGATGAAGTAAGTAACATATGTTCCTGAAATGGGTATTGACTTAATACTACTCCCAATAACATAACCTTCTGCAACATGAACAACATGTGTAGCACCATCTCCAACATCCACCACAACACCTGTCATCTCACACTAAGCAAAAGCATATAATGTTTTAAACATTACAAATTACCAAATAAACTCAAGAATCAAGATTAAAGATTAAAGATCCAAAAAACTAACCTTCTTTGTGGTGTATCATGCAGCAATAGCAAGAACAGGCTGCACAGCTATATAAAGCCCTGGAACATTGAATGTCTCAAACATAATCTCACTACTGTTGGAACGTTCAAGAAAGGCTCCACACTACCAGCAAATCCCATTTTCGTATACCTGTAATACCATTATAAGTTCAATTGTTAGGTCGGATTTTCTTGAGTAATTTTATCAAACAGGTGGTCTGCAAACTGTAAAAGGAGTACTGGTTTAGTAAACATTGTTGAAAGGGTGGGGCAAAACGTGCTACAATCACTAGGTTGAATTCGGCGACAAAAATATAAACAATTCGATTCCCTTACCGGACTTAACCTTCCACTTGAACAAAACAACATTATCAATAGCTATGAGAGACTGGAAAATGCAAGGTCGATGCACAGGGACTTCACTTCACTGAAATTGCTCAGAAACTGAATGGTGGATCGAAAGGACTCACTGTGAATCGAAGAAATTACAAATGGAAGCGGCCTACTTGGGGTGACGATCATACCTTGGAGAAAGTGAAGGGGTCTTATCAAGAGATTCAAGAGCTTATTAGGAAATCGGTCGTCGTCGACATCACGGAGGGTGTTCTTATCTGGAATGTTAGGGTCTAAGAATGGAGCAATGAAGGAAATCGTATCGACTTGAAGTACAATCGAGGAGAAACGTCTGGAAACGAGACAACCCAAGATCAATTCCTAAACTGAATCCACCCAACCACCTGGAATCAAGCTTCCTTCGCATGGCGTTTGGGGGAAAAGGAAAAGGGTGTTCTTCGACTTCGAGTGAGACATCTGCCCTAATTTTTGAAGTACGCACTCGTACAGAATTTGAGTGAGAATTGAGGTGTATATTGGAAGGATTAGTGGGTGAAAGTGTAAATAATGTTGGCAATCCATGCGTATGCGCCATTTTCATTCTCTCGTTCCTGATGCCCTTCATCACCTTCATCGATGTACAAGGTCGATAACGGCTGCCCTTCTTTTTGTTTCAGGTCATTATCGACGGCTGTATATAAGAAAATAAATTAGGTTAAGAGTGAAGGCTAGCAAAATTATAGGGATTATTTTTGGAAGTTATTAAACAAATGACTAAATTACCCTTATTTATTTATTTAATTATTTAATTTTTTTTTAATTTTGATTGGCCCACATTTATGCATACGATAACACAATACTTAGTTTAAACAAATGAACCTAGCTATATATATATATATATATATATATATATATATATATATATATATATATATGAAAAGTAAATATACCTACAAGTTATATGAGCTTAGAGGGTGTTCGGTTGTTCATCTAAAAAAGATTTTTTTTAACTTATTGAATTTTTGAAAAGTCAATAAGTTTAAAAAAAATGTTTGAATATAGAAAAAAAAACATTTTAGAACAACTTTTTGTTTAGACTTTGAAAATGGTATTTTAAGAAGTCATAATTTCTAACTTCTTGAACCAACTTATGATTTATTAGATTTACAAAGTAGATAAAATACAAAATTATGTCAAACATTTTTTAACTTATTGTGTTATTGATTTTTGCAAATATAAAAGATAATCTAAATATATTATTAAAAACTCATTTTCCCACCATCATAAGTCAATAAGTTATTTTGGATGAAAGCTTTTTTTAACTTCAAACTAAAATCCCAAACACACTCTTAGGTATCTAAACAAACTATACTGTGACAACCCGAAATTTCTAACTTATACATTCTTCATTTTTATCAAAGTTAGCCTCGTTTTGCTATTTTATAATGAAGTTTTGGGTCTATATAAGTGCATTAGGCTTAGTATAATCAAGATATGAGTCTTAGGAAGGGTTAGAATGTGTGTAGCATCATAAAATCGGGCCAAACACACCAAGCAAGGTGTGTGCGGCCAGCCAGCCGCACACAGCCGACCGCACACCCTCCTAGCCTCACCCTCCAACCTATATAAAGGACCCTAAGTCAACCTTACACCCTTTTTCCCACTCCTTCAAAGCTGGAACATTTTCTCTCAAGAGGCCTTCAAGTTTTCTTCTCCAATCGGCAACACAAGTAAGTAAACACCCTTAGATCATTACTACAACACCTTAGAAAGCCTTTTCCTCGAGTTTGATCCATGAAATCATCATTCTAGATGATCTTCATGTGTGTACGGCCGCACACACATCATGTGTGACCGCACACACATCTTTTGGCCCTAAAATGGACTTAAACACTCATCTAAACATAGCATCGGCCAAAACACCTTCTTAGGATCATCACAAAGCCTTGGAAAATCGATTTGGACACATTTGTATGGGAGTGTACGGCCGCACACAGGCCTGGCCGCACACACCTGGCCGCACACGCCATGTGCAACCGCACACACCCTTTTAAGGGTCCAAAATAGCAACAAACTTCCATTCCGGCTAAGAAACGGTCAAAACACCTTCACTAGAACATTCCTAAGGCTTGGAAAACCGTTTTTGACACACTTCATAGTGAGTGTGCGGCCGCACACACACTTGGCCGCACACTCTGGCCGCACACACACAAGACCCATGATTTTGTGGCCTTACACTTCAATATAGGGCTATACACCCCTTATGTGCAACCATATGTGTTGGTAACACTTAATTCTAAGTGTTTTTATGTCCTTAAGGCATGTCCCTATCACCATTAGTGGTTATATACATTAATGTAATCATATATGTGTAATTATATGTTAAATAGGATTCGTTTGTGCTCGAGACTCCATTTGACACCCAACAATCCTATATCGATCTTCCATTCGAGTTACTCAATGCAGGTGAGTTCATACCCCTTAATCAACCTTTGAAATGATTTTAAATGCTTTTATAGGGGGGAATACAAGTTGAAACATTCTAGATATTTCTTTAATTACATGTGATTAATGTCTAGGACAAACAGAAGGATTTTCTATTACTTTCAAATTACTATCAAACTTATGGATTTCAAGCACTTCAAAACCCTTATCAAATTATTTTAGATGCTAAAACTGTTTTCAAACCTTCTTAAATTTACATTATTTTCAAACTCATATCTACACTAATATATTTATAAGTAAGACTTGAAGGACTTAGGACTGATAGCTCACCTTATTTCTTGTTCCTTGTTTGGTTGTGGACTTAGGGTACCCTGTTATTTGTCCGAATGGCGTTGAAATCTTAGTTATATATATATATATATATATATATATATATATATATATATATATATGTGTGTGTGTGTGTGTGTGTGTGTGTTGGATATAAAAGCTTTCACTTCAGTTCAGTACCTTTGTTGTAACGAAGGCATACAAACAACATTACTATTTAACTATAATAGGTATAGTTAAGGGATTACTACTCACTATTACTATTACAAGGATACATACAAGAGTCAGTACATTTACGAATCACTACATAAGTACTACATTGAGAAACCATATATACTACACACTATACAAGAGAACACACTATACTCTATATAAGGGAATATACTATATACTAGTATCGAGAAAACATTACTACACTATGAATTACTATACAAACATTTGAATACTATAAATAGAATGTGACATACTACTTCTCGATACGACACTTCATTGTGGTATCACTTTTTAACCAGAGTCTCCTGGAGGGAGAGCGGGCATTGTGTGTATAGATTTATACGGGACAGACACTCCCACATCCCGACTGTTAGCTACAGTCTCGGCCGCTAAGGCTAAGGGGTGACAGAATGTTACGTCACTACATATGACACCGGAGGGTCATCAGTTATTCAGCCGTCGATCAGCATGGTTACACACGAGTTCACATTCAAACCTTTAATTAACTATCTAAGAATTAAAGGCAAACGGACTCCCCGAGATGTATTGTACATTTAATACTACCTGGAGTCTGCATTTTTATCATTTTCAGCCAGCAGTGCCACTGCTGAGGTAAAACATTATTTTCCCCTATTACAGTTATTTTGAAATCATCTCGCATAAGTGAGGTCTTAAACTATATTTTCATAAGAATAGTTTCACTGGGGAAAACTCTTACACTTACAAAAGAACAAACATACAAACAGTCGGGTCTTGGTAGAAGACTACATTTCACTATAAAATATAGGATTTTCTAGGGAGCATAACTATTTACAAACATTTGAAATCAGTTACTAACATTTGCACTACGTTGCCACATATATTTCCATACAAGCAAGGACACTAAATACTTATGAACTCACCAGCGTTATGCTGATAAACTCTTTCAAAATAACTTGTATTCTCAGGTCATCAGTAGACAGGTACCGATGAAGCTTTTGAGAAGATGGAGCACATACAAGACTCATCTTTTATTTTGATAATTCATTTTTGGTGTCTTACATATTATACAGAACACGCTTGTATAAAAATTATTATATTAATGCAATGGATGTTGTTGCTTATCTTTACTATTATGCATTGTTATGATACTGTACATGACGTCCTCCACCCCAGAACGTTTCCGCCGTTCCGGTTTTGGGGTGTTACATATACTATGTCGTTTTGTATCATATATGCATTATAATCTAATCAAAGGTCCAACTGATCGCCACGCCTGTATTGTAAATATGCAGTTACAAATAATCCAGCCAAAGTAATAGGAATTAGACCTAACACGATTCCAAATAGGAAAACTTCAATCATTTCAATTTGTTTGAAAGGAGAAAAAAGAGGTAATATCTATACCTAAATATTAATCTGAATTACCATGAATCTCAATGACCAAGAATTGGCAATGGACACGGTAAGTAACTATAAATACACAGAAGTTCGCGGAAAGATTTCCTTTTATGAATTGTGCAATGAATTTCAAATCAGTCGTATCTTGCTTAGACCAATAAATAGAGCTGAGATTATAGTTAAAGCCGTCAGTAGAAAACCGAAATAACTAGTTATGGTAAGCATGAAGGAGCTAAATGAAATATGTTCTTTTTATACATATGTTTATAAAAAAGCACTTACCTGAGTTTCCTTTTTTGCAAAATAGGAGATAAAAAAAATACCAATTGAAAGAATAAGTCCAATTGAAAGGTTTTGATTGATCTATCATTATAGACAGCACTAACAAGGAGAAAGTCACAATTGTATAAAAAAAAATGGATTAATCATCTGTAACATCTACCCATACCGCCAATCAGCGAATTCATTCTTGGATAATTTTTCAACTCAACTTAGAAACGAATAATAAATATTCTTAAACTTCAACCCTAACCTGATTTAATTTTAAGATTTTTGAAATTTAATTATTATCTTCTTCTTACATCACATATTTCTAAAAATCTTGGAAGTAAATCAACTTATGAGTTGAATTTTAAGAAATTTGGATGATTACAATGCATGTATGATACAAAACGACGTAGTATGATGAGTTTTGGTAACTAAATGTTTATATATATATATATATATATATATATATATATATATATATATATATATATATATATATATATATATATATAGATAAAAGAACAATTATTATGTTAATATAGATAAAATCTAGACAAACTATTTTAAAAATGGATAGATGCATAATGACATAATACTAAACTTACATATAAATTAATTAATTAATTTTAAATTTAACCTTATATTTATGGTAACAAATTAATATTGAATCATATGACATTGATTCAATTATGTTTTCCTATCATTTTCATCTCCTTGTCGAATTCTTCACAAACGAACATCACCATCTGAATGCACCAACTAAACATCACAACTGATCCTTCTTTGACTTCTCTGATTCATCATGGTCGGACACCGGTTGTTGTTTTATTGTAGCGGTAGCCTTTTTCTTTCTTTATTTTTGACAACCAACAAGTTGATGCCTTGCTCTCCCTCTTATATTCTTTTAACATCGTTATGGTGGTGTTTTGCATCAAGTTCCTCCATAAAGGTCGTGCTCAGGATTAGTGTGATCGTCTTTTTCTTCGAATTCTATCAGAATATCAAAGGAAACTTCGTTTCTTGCTTGAAAATTCATCAAATCTTAGGTACGTTCCTCATTTAACTTTTTTCATCAGGATGCAATGATAACTTGTACTCTTTTAGTTATGAGTTATACATTATGCATGGAAACCATTGATGACTACACAAAAAAAATAAAGTTTATATAAGTCATTATATTTGAAGCCTAGGAGTACGATTTCAAGATGATAAAGACAAACATCATAATCCAATTTTAAGATGAGAAAACAGACATTCTTTCAAAAATTCAAAAAATGATAATGTATTTTCTGAATAATGAAACGTGTTGTTTAGAAAATAGTTAGAAATTACTAGATTATTCATTGTTTTTTATGTAATTTTTGAAAGAATTTACTATTATTAAATTGTGACAATGTATTATTTCAATAAAGTTTATTTTATTCTTTTAAAAAGACTCTTTGTTTTTGGTTTAATTTTTTTTCTAAAATGTGTGTTTTTATATAATTATTCCAAGAATATATCAATTTTAAAGAAATTTTATAGCAATCATGAGAATTATGCTCGGTGATTTTCACTTTGTATTTTATATGCTTTATTACGAGAATTAATTTTCATGAGAATATATGTTTTATTAGCGGAGACATGATATGGGCCAATTGTGCGAATCTAGTGATACTCTAATCAATTTGGACCAAAACCACACAAAACCTCTAAAAACGAGCAATGGATCATTGATGTCATTTAACTAAAAAACGAAAAATCAGGAGACTACTTTTTTAAACAAAGATAAAATAGTCATTTTGAAATGTCTAATATCACCGATTTTTCAACAAAATATTATATTTTTTCATTGTATCGTTTCTATTTCCCATTTTAGTAAAAATAAAAGATTTTTTCAAAAATTCATATCTTGGATTTTAAACATGTTTTTAAAATTTTGAAATGGTCTAAATCTGAAATTTGAATCCCAAATATTTTTTTATCAGATTTTTTTTTAAATATGATATAATGCTAGTATGAAATAATCTGAATTCCGAAATATCCTTTGGTATGACAAAATGAACATCTACTCTAATAAATGAAGGTTTTTTTGGCACGTGTCACACTCTCACTCAATTTGCCAAATGTCATTTTGTGGTTATTTTGAATTAATTTCTTTTCCACATGTCATTTTATGGATTTTCTATTTTAATAAATTTCACATAATACTTTAATGTAATAATTAGTAATAAATGAATATCAATTTCATTAATTGACTTATATTCTTATTTCAAAATAACCAAATTAAAGCTCATTAGTTTATTTTGCTTATTCATTTAAATCTTAAAGACAAAAAATAAATTTTAATAATTAACTGTTTTTCTTATTTTCTTATAAATCCAAAGTTCTTAAATATTTAAATATTTAGACCTTTATATTTAATTTATTTTAATTAAGGGATAATCTTATAAAAACCCAAAATATTTTCATCAAAGTCTTAAAAAACCACTATATTATTTTTTTGTACGTTAAAACCCTTATATCTTTTAAAATGTATCATTTAAGGCATTGAGCTCGGTAAATCCTAGATAGTCAAAACTGTTAGGTAATCGATTCTTAACGTTTCTATTGTTACAATTTATTAGATTAAAAAAAATTAAAATATGAGGGTTTAAATGCACTAAAAAGAAATAATATAATGGTTTTTTTAATCCTTTCATGAAAATAGATTAGGTTTTTCTAAACTCAGAAAACCATAAATAATAGTTTTCGAAAATATAAGGATTTTAGTGTACTAAAAAATAATATCGTGGTTTTTTTAAGCATTTGGTGAAAATACGTTGGGTTTTTCTAAGGTTTTCGTTTTAATTAACCCATATAATACATGAGCCTTCCACCTAATTTCGATATAACTGAAAGAATTCAATTGTTTTTTCATATTCCAAAACTTGAAATGACCAAACTGCCCCTATTTCAAAACTCAATTAATCATACATCTCCGTGCCTTGACATACGCAGTTACCCCACCCAACACTTTCAGATCTAACCAACCCCTCTATACAATCCCACCCTGAACTTCATCCTCCCCATACCACACCACCCCACCCCCAAATAACAAACAGATCCCTAAATATTATCCCCATCCCCATTTTCACTCAACATCTATACTCCACCATTCATCATCAACCGAATAACATGTCGCACAACACCACCAATCGACGCAACTTTCCAGCTCCTAGCCCAGAAACACCCATGGATCCCACCCATCATCCTAAACCCACCACCACCACCACCACTCACCCACCAGATCCCTCCGTCACCACCGTCCAAAACATATCCAATCACTTCTCTAGATTGTACTTGAATCATAAATCTCGTTCATCTATAAGAACCTCCACTCAACCTCCTTCTGTTGATACCCATTTGCAAGCTATTTCCACAGTCTCCGACGGCTCAACCACCGCATCTTTGACCAAATCACATAGTCAAAAGACCAGAATACCCCAGAAAAGAGGAAAACCCCATTATTATTATTATTATCATAGCGATAAACCAGTTAAGGAGCAGCCTATTATTGATGAAGAACAAGAAGACAACATCAAGAGAGCCATTGTAGTCAGCAACAAAATACCCACCAAAAAAGCAGAAGATTACGTGATTTTGAAGTCACCAAATCAAGAAAAAAGTGGAGATGAGGTGAAAAAATTACAACAAGGGTATGATATCACAAAGCAATCTTTATCATCAATAGGTATGGGTAAGGGCAGGAGAAGGTCATTTGGTAGTAGCTCACAAGCTGAGTTGGCCGATTTCTTTGCGTGTAATGGCGTCAAAGTGGTTTCTGCTGACATGCCTCCCTATATGCAAATCCATGTTGTTGATGTTACACGAAAAACCTACGATAGCTTGGAAAAGTTCACAGCCAAAACCCTTGCTTTAACTCTCAAAAAGGTACAACTTTTCCTTTAATTTTCTGCAACTTTTGCATTAATTGGTAGTTTATCAGTTTTTTTTTTCTAATTATTGCACCACTGCATTAAATGCTAAACTGGTATTGGAGTGTTGAATCTTGATGTTTGATCTCTATCTATATTTCTGATTAATCATTTCAATCTATGTCTTGGGCAATCAATGTAGTTCATGTCATGTGATTTCCCAAAATCAACAACTACAAATTCGTGTCTAATTTAGCAACTACTTTTGGTGGATAATATACTTTTATGACAAAGATTAATTTGAAATTTTAAATGAATGACAATTAATGTTTTTTTGGGGGTGGAATGGATTGCTGATGTGAAGAACAGGTAGGTCAAAGTTAATGGGGACTAGGGTTGGTGTTTGGTTTAAAATCTGAGGGAATCTTGATATTTGATCATTGATGTAATAAGAGCTGTGGTGGGGCTGATAAGATTGACAACATAGATGCATGATGTATTTTTACTATATCCTCTTAAATTCATAAATTTGCTAAATAAGTGAAAAGGGTCCCCATGAGTATTCTTATTGTCTGTCTCTATTAAGCACTTTCTCTAGGCAGACACTTAATGATGTTTATCTGGTATATATAGATTACTAAAGAAAAATGCACATGGGATTCTATTTTAAGTAACCCTCTAACTAGGGTATAGGGGTACCCCTATATTTGGGACAGCATAGAAAGTTAGAAACATCATGTCTTAGAAGGGGGCCCTTAAGCATAAAGTAATTAAGTACAATTCTTGATTCAATGGTACCCCATGTTTTTGGCCTTTTGCTATGAATGATGAAGAGTAGGACGTTTATGTCTTTTTGCACAAACAAGAGATGGAGAGCGCGTCTCGGTCATACTTTTTCGGGTGAGACAAAAATTGACGTCAGTGTTATTCAAATGCATGTCAAACGCAGTACAATGTGCATGTTTTGTCTTGTCTATGTAATTTGTAACAAATTAGCCTAACACAAAACACTTTTTTTGGTATTTGTTGCAGGAGTTTGATGGGGTTTATGGACCAGCATGGCATTGTATTGTGGGGTCAAGTTTTGGGTCATTTGTGACACATTCCGTGGGTGGATTCTTGTATTTCTCCATGGATCAGAAGCTTTATGTTCTCCTTTTCAAGACTGCTGTTCAAAGAGCACATTGACATTGTTGATGAAAAGGTTTTCTTAATAGATATAGTGTAAAATTTTGGCAATCCTACCTCATGCATAGATAGGTGTACCTCATGCATGGATAGTTGTACTTTATGACTCAAATAGTGGCTCCCTTCCACAAGTAAATGAATTATAGTTTCTTACCTCTTCTTTCTTCGCCATGTTTACTAATTTTGAAAAATTCTCCATCCCTTTCACAATAAGTACTATACTCTGACTTTTCAGATCAAACTTGGTTTTCTTTATTAAATTAAAAGATTACCGTGAATTTGTTTAGATTCTACCGTACGGAAATTGTTTATATTTGTGATATTTTTGACATTATTTAATGTAGCAATAGGCTTTTTATCACACATATTCCAATATTTAAACTAAAAAATCTTCCCTTTGACTATACGAGTCAATATAAAGATGCTCCTAAGAAATTTATGCAGCTAACTAATTTGGCAATAAAAGTCAAAATTGGAGCATAATGGTGGCCCCCAATAATAAACTAACCTAATAATATATGAATCTGCTTAAAACTATGATGTTGGTAATCATAATTTAATTGTTTTAAAGAATTAAAGTGGTCAAGATTATAAATTAGCCCATAACCTCAATGTCACTTTAAAACTTTAAAAACGAAAGTTATTTGTAGCACACAACTTATAGCTTATAAACTATAAAGATATCAAATTTCTCATTAAAGACAAAACTATAAACTCCCACCTCACTATGAGGGAGTTATTACAATAATGGTAACAATGTTACAAGAAATAGCATGTTCAACTAAACACAACAAATTACACAAACAACATCAAGAATCAAAGTTGACAAGAACACATGTAAACACTGTTGTTCAACTCCAGCTTGATGACAGCATCCTTGTATAAGGATTCAAACAGGATTAGATGCAAAGGGCCAAAAGAGATGACACGATTAGGCTAAAGTAATGTCTGAATGAGAAATCTGTTGAGCCACAGGGCTAATAGGGATGAAACCCAAGGGGGATACAAGAGCATCTATGAAAACATCGGTTGGGGTGACTGGTATAACGCCTTCTTCTACTATTTGCACCGAATAAGATAGTGCAACTGCAAAAAGAGGACCACAAGCTTTCTAAGGTACTTTCAATGACAAGTACGAGGGCATTCATGTCTTTTACACAGAAAATTGCAACTTTTGCCACATTGACATCAGTCCAATACATATCAAACACAATACAACTGTGATGTGATGTCATGCACAACAATGCCTTTAAATTAAGATCTTGGTTTTGTGAAAGATTAAAAAAAACACCAAAGAAAAAACTTACTTAGAAGAGGCTGCTTCCAGTTTCGTTGTGTTGCGAGTTCTTGGTACTTTGAGAGGAAGGTGTCATAGTAACTACACAATGAGAAAATATGAAAAAGTAAAGCAAAAACGATTAAACGAATGAAATTTTTTATAAAAAAGTTAAGAATTTAATGGAGAAAGTCTGATTTTGTTGACTTTTATGGTAAGAAGTAAAACATACCCTCCACCACGGCCCAATCGCCTTCCAGTTTTATCAAAGGCAAGTCCTTGAAAGAAAATCAAGATAAATGATCATCAGATATAATAAGTCTTTGAACAATGAATCATTTGATCTTTGTTGCGAGAAATTACCGGGCAACAGGAGCAGGTCAACAGGTTCATTCGCAAGCATCACTGCAATGATCAGAGCCTTAATAGACTTCATAATAAAAAGCTTCAAAGATATTAAAAATATTTTACAAATCTAACAAGAAGTGCTAACCATCTTCACGATCATTCCCATTAGCATCAATTGGAGCTGGCTCTAAAATGTTCATAGAGTTTGCAATTAAATCATCCATACCACAAATATTTAGCATTCTCATGTGGCAATTCTTGTCCTCCACCCGTGGAACATAAAGTCTCTTTCTGCTTTGTGTTTCACCATCTTCATTGACAAATAGACAGAAAATTTCCACTTCATATATCAATACGATTGAGAGATTACATACAAAAAATTCAAGGGATGTTTGGTTCACAGAAAGTTTTGGAAGGAATTGAATCCTTCTCTAAGGAAAACACACCTTTTGTTGGATTCTGTAAGATATGCTGCAACACCTTTGATGTATCAACTTCTCTCAATGCACTACAGCTTATGTAAGCACATAATCCCTTACAAGACTTGAACCATGGAGCTTCCAATATCAGATTCTGAATTGCATCATCTGTACGGACAAACAACTAATTTTGACTTCCAACTTATGAGGTCTTTACATATCACTTTACTAATCCATTACAAGTTCAATGAAGCAAGATCGATTCGAGATGCTCTAAACTATAATGAAAATTATGTTTGATTTGAAATGCCACAAGCAGCTTGGCTAGATCATTTCATAGACTAAATACCATCAAACTGGAAATTAATTATCAACCCATACAAAAACATCACTATTCGAAATGCCAAATTTCTGATCAGAATTTATCAGGAAAATGGAGACAACTAAACCCTAGCTAGACAAATTTTAACTGACATCACAGATTTTCACACACGCACATACGAATTGACGAAAATACCTTCGTGAGATCTAAGGGCGGGGTCCATTGATCTGAGATCCTTCTTGATTTTCGATCGGATAACCCGTTTCTGGGTAAATATGGCTTCGAGGTGATTGTCCTGGGTGGTCATGGTGGCTGAGGCGGCGGAGGAGCGAGGAAGAGCGTAGGAAGAAGGAGGCAGTTGTGGGCGCAGGATAAGAGAGCGAGTACAGGAGAGGGCGCGGGGAAATGCGGGTCTTGCTATTGTGCACTGGTGGGACATGATCACTGCGACCAACTTCCTGATCCCTTTGTACGACGAACCCATGTGACCTCAGTTTTCTGACCATTTTTTATTACATAAAAACTGTTGAATCTGAGTAAACTTTTTTTTTTTTTTTTTTTTATGTATTATGAAAATATATTTTTGTCAATTATATTATCGACAAATAAAACAAAAAACTTTACACACCAACATAAACGTAACAAATGTTGTTGTATACTGACACAATAACGTTATTCAAAAATCCGTTTGAATTTAGTGGGTCAATATTAAGAATTAAGCTTCCGAAGATGTTGAGCTATTTCTGTCAATATTTTAGTTCCTTCATCGCCTTTTTCAAGCGTCATTGCGGTTTGCTTCAAGAATCCACTCTCCGCTTCAATGACAGCCAATTTCTCCCTCATTAGATTCACCTCTTTCATAAATGAGGCGTTATCACCTGTAAAATTACTCAAATCAGTAAAAAGAATTGAAAAACCCAACAAAAATCATAGGTTTCTTCCGGTTACCTGTATCTCTGTCTTCCAGTTCTTGATCCTCTCGTTGTGAAGACGAACGAACATGATTTTCAAATTCCTTCAACATTCCAAAAAGATGTGATCTTTCGGTTTCAAAATTTCCCGATGTTTCCTCATGGGTCCCCTTTCTGTTTCCATCTACACTCTGATCATCTTCAACGCTCTTGAACTCTGATCGGTCGCCAACAGATCGAGGGTGAAACTCGTCATAATATTCATCGTATTCATCGCTATCCATCTTCTTAATTTCTCCGTATCGCGCTCGATAAACATCGACTTCGGTTTCCAAGACTTTCACATCTTCCTCTTTCTTGAGATACAAATCTCTAAGGATCTGAATGGCTTCTTCATCATACTCCGCTTGTTCATCCATCATTCTCTGGTACTGCAACGCCTCCATATGAACTGCCGCCTTCTCGGCCTGTAACCGTGTGATCATCGCCATGGCGTTGTTGGCGGCAACCGCGGCGGCGCACCGTTCTTCGTCGAGTTCAAGGTACAATGTGACGAGGGTTTTTCGATTGTCGCTGACTTGTTTCTTTAGTTGCTGGAGAATTGAACCGCCATCGGCTGGTGATTCATCAGTTGTTTCTGAAAACAAATCGGATTTCTCTAATGGAGCTTTTTTGGGAGGTTTATGAGCCCATCGAGGACTTTCAATCGATTCTGCAAATGATACCCCAAAGAACTTGTTTCCTCTGATATGACTAGGTGTTTTCATAGCGTTTTCGTTCATTTCTTCATAATCTGATAGCAATTGTAGTATTTCCAAGTTAACATCGATCACCATCAAATTGGTGCTTCACGATTAATGGGTTTATGTTGTAATGTTAACTAAATTAATTTTAATTTGCTAAAAATTGGAGCGAAAGATAACAATTTTGCTAAAGTACGTACATGTCTATTTTAGAATCAAGATCTTTTGGCAAGTAAACTCACGTTTGGCATTTGTGTTCATTCCAAAGTCATATTCAGCAATGTCTGGTTCGTTATCAGACACAAACCTGAGCTCCGTATACCGAGCTTGAGACAATTCTGAATTTCTACCTGCCTCCTCGATTCTCCATGCTGCTCTAGGAGAAGCCATTGGTGCTAGTGAAGAAAACCTAGGAGAAGAAGCAGGAAACAAGGAAGACGAAGCTCTAGGAGATGAAGATGGAAAGAGCGAAGAGAAAGCCCTAGGAGACGAATTTGGAAACAACGAAGATGATGCTCTAGGTGAAGAAGTTGGAAACATGAGTGATGCTCTAGGAGACGAAGACGGGAACAAAGAAGAAGCCCTAGGAGATGAAGTTGGGAACAAACCAGACGCTCGTGGAGAAGCCGGTGGTATTTGGGAAGAAGCACGAAGGTTTGAAAAGTTTCTAGAGAGTTCTTTAGAAGGTTGTTTGGGCTTTAAAGATTCACCACAGCATGAACATCTATCTGTGTCAACGATCGCGTTGTCGTTTTTGTTGTTATCTGTAAGCTTCTTCTCGGAGGGTTTGGCGAACATCTTCTGATCTTTATTGTGATTATCAGAAGCAGATTCTTTTTCAGTTGACAAGGAGAGAAGACAACCATCACACATGGTTCGGATATCAGATAGTTTCCTGTGAACATGACAATACGCCAAGGACGATATGTCTTTCTTGTGAGAATCACATATGGAGTCACTGTAATAGGAAGTAGGGCTGTTCTTCCCGCCAAGAGCATGATCGACACGTGTACACAGGACGCAAGGGGGGTCTAATTCAAAGATATCTGCGAATTTGTTGGAAATAAACGCAAGGAAGCCGTCGAGATAAAGGGAGATGATTAGCATCCATTCGAGAACAGCCCAGACCACGAAATGTGGGAATCCGCCTAACTCCTCCTCAACGAACATTCTGAAAGTTCTCTTCGATTTCCTCATTGTAACGTCGTACACAACTCAAGAAATGAAGAAAAGAAAACCTAGGTATGAAAAGTGAATACAAGGTGACACAGATCTCGTGAGTTAGAAGAAAGGAACGATCGACTGACAAATGGTAAAAAATTAAACAATCAGGTGAGAGGCTTCCCATGTCCATAGTGTTAGTTTATAAAACTGGAATTGGTCTATTGCCTAAATTCACTCTATACCATGCAATCGTTAATTTCACCAATAAATTGAAACTTAAACACGACATTAGTCAAAGACTCAAGGATTACTTAGTTTTTTAAAAGGCCCACAAGGTTTGTTTGTTAAAAAAAAACTTATTATTATTATTATGTTAAAAAAAAAAAAAACTTATTATTATTATATTACATAGTATATTAGTAGCATCACTACTTTGTTACTTGTCTGATCACATCTGTTATTATTTTATTGTACTTAATAATTTACTATTACTAAATTTCAAATATCTATCTACAAACCAAACAACAAATGAAAAGGATATTTAATTTAAACATGGCTCATAAGCATTCCACTATTTGTATTCTAAGTTTAAAAAATATATCTACAACCAAAAGAAAAAACACTATAATTCCACTTCCATACCAACGGAACAAATTTCATGTCAGTTTTACAAAATCAAAGTCAACTTTCTGTATCTGAATAATAGTGGCTGTTGAACAAAAGTCTTCAGATTCCAGGCAGGACATTTGAAGCCATGTATGGAGAAACACATCCCTGTACCTGAACCCAAAAACAAACTAATTTTCAATACTATAATTACCTAAACCTTCTTCTCAACAGTAATGTTCTAATAAGAAGAAAAAAAAGCTACACTTGGGTAGATTTTTATAAGTATAATGCTTTAATAAGAAAAATCTTAAAACATAATGTACCTGCAACAAGCAAGTAGGAATCTGAATGAAGCCTTGCAGTAGAAGATCAACATCCTCCAGAAGATGTTGTGGAACAGGAGTGATTATGTAGAGAACACCTCTCAAAGTGTCTACTCCCCTAACAATTCCTGAACACAATATATATAAATGCATTATATATCTTAGGCCCTGTTTCTTTTTCCCCATTAAGTGTTGTCTGTATAAAATATAAATGATGTTTAAAAAATAACCTACCAAGGCCAACACAGTGAGGCAAATTCCCATAACCTTCACAACTAACTGCCAATCCAACTATACTTGCATTCAAACTGTAGAAAATTTCAGCTTCCGGCACCTGGCGTTATACAAAAACTATATTAGATGATGAGGGCATTCACGTCTTTTGCACAGATGAGAGAGATCAAGAGAGACAATAAACTGCAAAGTTTTGTCCCATTGACATGTTGAGGTAAACCTGAGTATGAAGGTGTTTAATGTTGACAGCTGACATGGAAACTTCATAAGGAGGGTGAGAAGCCAATGCTTGAGCAATTTTTTTAATTGAACCCATCCTCATGTTACTTGGAAAACAGTGTGTGAAGTATGTCATTATACTTAAATCCCGTATATGGCGTGAATCTTTGTGTACAATTACCCTGAATAAGCAAATATGAATCTTCACTAATGACTGAAATTAATCTGCATAAGAAGAACTCAAGAGGGATACATACGATCTGTTTAAGGAGTCCTGGTGGGCTGATTTGATTTCAATTAAGGTTGCTTCCTTAGCAGCATCCGTGTCTTGAGACCAGAATGTTCCGGAAGGTAGGTTCTTACTTTTAGCAGAAACACAAATGTTAACCACATGACTAGGAGCAATATGGTTCAACATGTCCACCAATACATCGTACCCAATACCTGACACAAAAGTAGGAAATCTGTCATCACATTTTTTTATTTTTGAAAGGGACTAAAAAGATTTAAAAAACAAAAGCATACCTTTCACCCAGCCGGGAGTGTTGATGATTAATGGCATCTCATTGTTGTTGGGAGATGATGAATGATGGTGTTTATGATAGTGATCGTATAGGGCGAATATGTATTTCAAATAAAGCTCTGGATCTCTTTTTGAAGAAATGTCACCAAAGAAGAAGCATCTGTCAGGGAATTTGCCACAAAAGATGATCAGACAACTTGCATTCAACAATACATGTAACAGTATATCTAATGTAGCTAAAAAACTTTGCAAAAAGTTTATATATGGTTAAGAAGTAAATGATACCTTTCTGGCTGACTTTTTAAATCTGCAGTGCAAGTGCAACAACAAAAACATTCAAGAACACAAGAAGCCAAAAATTAAAAATGTCAGCATATCCATTATAAGGCACTGAATTATAAGGGTTTTTGAAGAATATACCTATGCTTTCACTATCAAGTAGAGTGAGTGAGAGACATCCAGGAGGGGTAAACTCGGGTTGTCCAACATCAGTATCCAAGTACGCAACTCTCTTATGCCTGAAAAAAAAAAGACTTCAAACTTTAAATCCAATATAACCTCATATGAATATAGTTAGTTACCATCATCATACAAAAGCCAAAGTTAATGAGTGACAAAGTGTTCAAAGAAAGGAACTTTGCCATTACATATTTAAAAGAATACAAAGAGGTAACAATTTTTCATGTTTCAAGTCGGTTTATCAGGTATAAGTTATTGAAGAAATTCTCTAAAGCACATTAAAGTTATGAAGTTCTATAATCATTTTATACTTCACTCCATGTTCACATGCCTATATGTGGGAGGAATCAGATATCATATAACAACCAAAACCCAACAAAATTTTGTAGTTAATCAAATTAAAACCACAAAGTTTATATAAACTAAGTCTAGGAAAAATATAAATGTGACTTGATTTATCACCACAACCAAAAGCCAATTAGAAACTATGCATTTGTAATTGTAAGCAGCCAATATAATCATACATTCTATTTCACTATGTAAGGTCCAGTCAAGCGCCTATCAAACACCACCATTTAACATCTTCACTTGTCAGTCTCATTTTTATGGTGATGGGGTGATTGGATGTGTTTCTATAACTTATATGATGCCAGAGAAAGGAGGAAGAACAAACGGAAGGTAAGCTTTTATTAGAAATTTTCATTTTCACTAAGAAGCAAGAAAGTTGTACGAGAAAAAAAGAAACCTGATTTTAACATCAATTTGTTAGAGAAAGCATGAACATTCAATCAGAACCACATCAATTCGAAATATTAATTTGGCATGTACATGAAGCTTAACCTCTAATGCTTGGAATCAAATGTCAAGAATATGATGTTATCACAAGATATTATCAGTTAGAACTCAGATAGCTGATACAAAAACCTAGAAACACCGTTTCTTTAGATATTAACACCGAACTTCAATAAGATTATGAAAAACACATCCACATAAGTGGGAAAAATATACCAGAATAACAATTTTCATCAAGGAATTTACCTACGGAGGAGAACATGAAGGACATGTCGAGAGAAGGTTGACTTGCCGCTGTTTTTGGGGCCGCATATGAAAGCCGTCGGAGTGTGTGCACCACCATAAGCTATGGTGTCCGCCGCTTCGGACCAGTCTTCTGGTATATATATGTTCGTTGCTTCACTCTCTTCAACCTCCATTGATAAAGAAGTCATCGCCATTTTTGCTTCTGGTTTGCTGTGCTTGTTTAGTGCAGTGTAGGGAAGCATGTAGAAGAAAGGCCGAGTTTTTGGCTTTTGTTCTTATGTTAATGGGCTTGGACCTCGTTCCGAGTCTCAACTTCCCTTTACATAAAAACGAAAAGATTATTTTTAAATATATTTTTGAGTAAATTACATGAAAGGTCGGTGTGGTTTGCTGTAATTTATATGTTGGTTTCTAACTTAATTTTTTAATTTGGATTGTCTCGACTATAATTTTATTACACGTTTTGGTCTCTATTATAGATAAAAAGACTTAATTGCCCTTCTTTGTTTTCTTTTTTAATTTGTTATTTATTTTTTAAAATGTTTAGTAATTAAGGTGGGTCCCACCACCATATACCATTATACCTCACATTTCCTAATCCTTTGTACATGTTCAGCTTTAAAGATATTGAACATTTAGCTTCAAAATTACCGACCTAAAAATTGACGTCTCCGGCGATGTCATCTCTATCGGCAGGGTCAACTACATCTCAATTGATATTTAAGAGTTGACGTATCTTGCATACAAACGATCTGATCAGGAACCAAAGCAATACTCTCCGATGATATCATCTCCACTATAAGCTCTTATTCGGTCTCTTAAAATCTATATTTGTGGTTTTGGTTTCCGGTTTGAATAGATTTCTCAAGTTGATTTGTGGTTTTGATTTCTAGGTTTAAATGGGTTTCGATTATGTGGTTTCTGGTTTCATTCATGTTTCCGATCAATGGGTGTTTTTTTCCAACTGCAAGTCAAAAAATGGGTTTCGATTAAGCTATGATTTAGTACCATTTTTTTTAATCTTTGGTGTTTGAAACATTGAATGCTTATAACCTTTTCATAAATAAGTTAATGTTATAACCCCTAATTCTTAAGCTCTGATTCATGAAATTGTTGCAATGGACGCAAAAGAAGAACATGTCGATCATGTAACAAAAGTGGTGGTAGAGCGCAAAAGGGCGTTTCGATTCCGATCATACTTTAAAGATCTGATCAGGAATCAAAGCAATACTCTCCGATGATATCATCTCTACTTGTGCTACCCTGCGTGAATGAATATTTTACCAGCTCATCCACAAAATCTCAAAGCAGGTTCGCTGGAGAAGTCAGAAGGTATGGTTCTCGAAATAGAACGACGTACGCCAAAGATTGTGAAGTTGACGAAGATGGTAATGGCAATTTTGAAATGGGTGTTTGATTTTGACTTCTATAAATTAGTTTGTTTTACTTCTACTTCTTAAAATCTGAATTTGTATATGGAATAGCCAGATGCCAAGGTTAAGAGATTATTAACGGAAGTAGGTTTTCCTTATAAAAATCCAAATTTGAATATTCGATGGTTAGGAGATTATTACCGGAGGTGATGGTGGTTCTCCGTGAAGTTTCTGAGGAGTTTGACGAGAGAAGACGATAGGTGTGAGTTAGAAGGGAAAGAGGGTTGTGGGACCCATCTTATTTATAAAATATTTTTTTAAAGATAAATAAAAAATAAAAAATTAACAATTAAAAAAGAAAATAAAGAAGGGC